CAATAAGGATAGAATTATCAAATAAAAGACTAAGGAAATATATATTACGTAATGCAGCATACTTTAGAGAGGTTGGTTTGGGCATTTCCGAATACCTAAGTGAGTCGGATCTAAAACAAAAGCGCGAACTGAAAAAGGCTCTTATGGAGATCCGGAAAAAGGGTCAAAATGCTGTCATAAGGAAAGGAAAGCTAATAGTAGATGGAAAAGAGTTTACTGGACCCGGACTTAACCATATCATCAGCGAAGTAAATGGAAATAATACAAATCCTACCAGGCCTAACAAAAACCAGTCCTTTCGATAAAAACATAAATGTTTTCTACCAAAATATGCAAAGCGTAAATAACAAAGTACACCTACTAGAAGATTTTATTGAACGAAACCGTAACCTGCATATTATTTGCCTAACAGAAACATGGTTAAACAAAGAAAAACTTGAACTCTTTAATTTAACTGGATATCGGATAGCATCGAGCTTTTGTCGGAAAAGTAGTAAGAAAACCGAAGGGGGAGGCGTGTGCATACTGGTAAAGGAGAACCTAGAGACTAAAGAAAGAAAAGATATAGAAAAAAATTCTCAAGAAAACATCTTCCAAATATCTGCTGTTGAATTAACTAGACAAAACGTAGTTAAATTATTAATTAATTTATACTGGCCAAATAGTAATAAGAATAGAGATGTATTTTATGAGTGTATCGAAAAACTCATGGCATTATTATCATTGAAGGACACTTCAAAATCTGTTATAGTGGGGGGAGATTTTAATGTGAACTTTATGGCAAATAGTCTAGAAACAAATAACTTAAAAAAAGCAATGTTAATGTATAATTTTCACCAGATAGTCAAAGAACCCACCAGAGTTACTGAAAATACTTCCAGTTGTTTAGATCTTATTTTTTTAAATTTTGAGTCAAACAATCACCATTTAGTAGTAAATGATTTCGCTTTCTCAGACCATAAAGGCCTGTTCCTCTCCGTACCATTATGTATGCAGGCCCCTAAAAACTTCTTCCTACTGAAAAGATTATTTAATGACAAAAATATTAATAAATTTAAAAAAGAACTGCAAGGAGTAAAGTGGTTTGAAATAATAAAACCAGACCAAAACACCAACACCAACTATGATGCATTTAATATTGTTCTCCAACAACTCTTAGATAAGTATATACCCAAGTTAGCTATAAAACTATGCCATGCACCTGCAAAATCAAAACTTACTCCAGCCCTTAAAGTATCCTGTCGAAATAAGAGATTATTAAAATTGATTAAAATACAGGCAAAAAGTAAAATATTAGATAATTATTATAAAAAGTATTGTAAACTATTAAAAAAAGCTGTACAAATATCAAAAAAAAAGAAAACACTCATAAATATTCAAACTCAAAAAACAAAAGTAAAACTATGTGGCATATAATTAACAAAGAATTGAATCGAAAACCCCGACTACTTAAACAAAATATTGTGTTAAAACAGAACCAATCAATATATAAAGACCCAAAAACAATAGCGAATTTGTTTAATGACTACTTCTCAACAATCAGCAACACCCAAAAACTTACAAGCAGCGAACACTCAAAAATTGTAAACTCAATACAGAGTTCACTCTATTTACAATCTCTAGAGCCCAGAGACACTTACAAAATAATAAAAAATCTTAAAAGTAAATCTAGCTTTGGAGTCGATGACATCCCCCCATGCTTAATTAAAAAATGTGCGGAAGAATTGACATTACCATACACACTATTAATAAATCAGTCCTTTCAGGAGGGTTGTTTTCCAGATTCCCTAAAAATATCTGTAGTAAAGCCAATACACAAGAAGGGCGAACAAACCTTAGTAAGTAATTACCGTCCTATTGCACTCCTACCGACATCTGCTAAGATATTTGAAACAGCTATGGCTAATAAAATTATAGCATTTTTAGAAAAGTTTAAAGTTCTTCACAAAAATCAATATGGTTTCCGCAAAAACAAAACAACCACTCTAGCCGTCTATAAGTTATTACAAAAAGTTTTTGATATAATTAATAATAAGAAACACGCGATAAGCTTATTACTCGATATGAGTAAAGCGTATGATAGAGTAAATTACAAAATTTTACTTGATAAACTGTACGGGCTCGGTATAAGGGAACTAGCATTTGAGTGGTTTAAATGTTATCTTCGGAATCGACACCAGAGCGTAGAAATACAAAATGTCAACTTCGAAACTGGAGAAATTAGACATATCAGATCTGATTTTACCCCTATCACCGGATCAATACCACAAGGTAGCGTTCTAGGTTGTATACTCTTTCTGATATACGTGAATGACCTGTCAGATTCAATTCCTTTTGATAATGTGCTTTATGCAGATGACGTTTCAGTAGTCTTTTCCTGCACAAGCACTGATTCACTTAAAGTAAAATTGGACGCGACATTAGATTCGCTTACAAAATGGCTAGAGTGTAACAATCTACAGCTTAACCTGGAGAAAACTAAATTAATGGAATATAGACCTCATCAAAAGACCCCATTAAACATCAACTACCAATACAAATCCAACAAATTAGAAACTGTAAACTCTGCAACCATGCTAGGGATAGAGCTAGACTCGCATTTAAACTGGAAACCACTTACTCAAAAGCTAACAACTCGATTGTCCTCTCTCGTATATGCACTGAGACAGTTGAAACGCAGTACTAACCTTAATACCACCCTTTCTGCATATCATGCATTTGTCCATTCCAGGCTGACCTATGGCATTATATTGTGGGGTAACTGCACGGATATTCATGATGTTTTTGTCCTCCAGAAAAAAATTATAAGAATACTTGCAAATATAAAACAGACAGACTCCTGCAAACCATACTTCAAAAAATTTAAAATACTTACCATAACATGCCTATACATCTCTGAAGCCTGCAAGTTTGTGAGAAAACATATCGAATTATACTCCCCAGTAAAATTAGTAAGACGTAATGATCGCTACCAGAATAAACTGAAGCTCCCGTTTTCAAACTTGAAATTGGTATCTAATTCTCCACACTCCATGATAATTAAAATTTATAATCACATACCCAACAATATTAAAAATTTGGAAAACGATACAATTTTTGAAAAATGTCTAAAGGAATATCTTATTAATAAATCATATTATAATATATTAGAATTTTTCCAAGATAAACATATTTGATATATAATTTTAATCAAGTAATAAAAAAAAAAATTAAATTTCATGACATACCTCTATATTATATTAAAAATTCTGAGTGTGAAAATTGTATATATCTATAGTTTTTAAATTGTAAAATATATGTATTTTTTAATTTTAATTTTGGTAAGATGCATGTTTAATAATTGAATTGAATTTTTTTATAATATATTTGATTGTTTGTTTAATTAATAATAATAATTTAAGTAAAATTGCAACGCCCTTGCAGGGTGTCACATGTTTGTACAGGTTATGATAATGTTGTTTTTTGTACTATCTGTGGCATGCAATAAAGAATAAATAAATAAATAAATAAATTCACTGAGAGAATTATTTAAAGACATCAATATTTTGACGGTTCCCTCGCAATATGTATATGACAACATTATGTATGTCCACAAAAACTTGCATACCTTTTTAAAGAATAGTGTTTATCACAATGTCAATACAAGAGGTAAAAATAGACTTGCTGTTCCGACTTTCAGACTTCATAAAACTAGTCAATCATTCATGGGGAAATGTATACAAATATATAATAAACTTCCACTTAATGTAACTGAACTTCCATTACATAAATTTAAACTTCATGTTAAGGAAATTTTAATGAAAAAGGCATATTATAAAGTTCAGCAATATTTAGACGATAAAAAGGTTTGGATACATTCCAATGTGCTCGATTCTCCACTGAAATCCAGAAAGATATAATTAAGCGTATACTTATTATTCTAAATTGACAATATTGTAAGGAAAGACGTCATGGATCACATCTTTTACATATATTCTTTTATTTCGTAGTAACTACTGGTCTTTTATTTATTTATACTTTTAAAATTAATTAAACTATTAAAGACCTGATGTGGATTATGACTCTTTCCAAATAAATAAAAATAGATAGTGTAAAGGGAGGACAAAACTTGCTGAGTTTCTTGCCTGTTCTTCTCAGACAAGGCCTTCTGGTAGACTCTTGAACCGATGGCATCAAATTTGACTTTCATAAGTGTGCAAATTGTACCTAAATGAATAAAGAAATTTTGACTTGACTTTGACTTTGAAAAAATATTGCCGTGCAGTAATTTATGCAGAAGTAAAATTTCCTCTTCAACATGTTCCCCGCGCAGCCCGCCTGCCCCCCGCCCTGCGCCACGTGAGTACTATACCCACGTGATACTAGGTGTCAAGCTATAATCCGCTGAGGCCGGGGCCGATTCGTGTGGACGCTAAGCAGCAGGGGTGCAGTATTAAATATACCTATAGCATCAATAAATAATTCGAATAGTTGAAAAGGGTCTCCATACGCGTCAAATGTCAAAAAAATGTATGGAAATTTTAACCGCGTCACAACGAACGTAACGATAATTAAAAATCTTTCATACAAAACTTCTTAGCATATGACACGTATTGAGATCGAATTCAACTATTCGAATTCCATATTGGTTCGGCAGGGGCCGGTTTGTGTGGTCGCTCAGTAGCCAGGGCACGGCGAGATGCCACGTAAATATTAACACAGCCCAGACAGTTCAAATCGCTTGCGAGCACGTGACTTATTCTGTTTAGCAACTCGTACGCAGAAACGTCAAATAAATTTCTCTTCTCTATTAAAATCGTGTGTTGTCTTACTCTATTATTTTTTCATAGCAAAAATGTGACAACAATAACATCAATCAATATGAATGTCAAATTTTATCATCAACCCATATTTTTTCGTTTCATCATATTATAAGTATATCAGACAAATCATTTTGATCTAGGAATAATTTCCCTTAGCCACTAAATGGCATCATGTCACAATTTATATTCTCTCACCAGTGACACGGCGTTCCCAAGCTTAGAGTCGGTACTTCGTCAACTGAATGACCCCGAGGCGCCGACGCTTTTCAAACTTCTTGAGCAACAAGCGGTCATCGAGAAACGGGCCACAGAAAGTGAAGAAAATGTAGTAAGTATACGTATTTCAAAAGAAAATATCGAAGCACTTATAAGATCACTTTGTTGTCTGTCTGTCAAGACCCTTTAAAAATACTCAATTTTGCAGTCTGTTGAAGCTGTGAAATAGCCATACTTTTAAGGTACTTAAAAAAAAGGTTACGACCGTTTGTATTGCGAACCTACAAAATTGTACGGAACCCCTCGATGAGCGAAACCCAACTTGAACTTTTCCGGTATTTTTATTGTAAAATATTACAACTGTCTCCTATTTTCTTTATCATACATGTAAAAAATACTTTTAGGTACCGGAAGAATATGTGCCTCCAGAACCGGTGACTGAATTCCAAACCGCTAGATTATTCTTGTCGCACTTCGGCTATCTGAACATAGGAGGTGATAAAAAGGTGAGTTATACATATATTAGTGTGGTATATTTATATTCTTGTTCCCAGTGAAATTCAAATACCTACTACTATTTTATTCCATGCCCTAATTTAATTTACACATTGCAAGTTTTGTGAACCTAGACTAAAATAGACACGTGCGGTTGGCACACGCGCTTACAATTAATGATATTGTTTTGCTGCAGCTCAAAACTAATTGAGAGTCACTTCTCGCAGGTATCAACAACATCAGTGATCTCCTAATTATATACCGACATATTTATTTTATCGATACATGATGAAAAAATCAGTTACATTTGTACGTTATTTTAGTTCTAGTGCTAGGTGGCGCATTATTATATTTATGAGTGTTTATTTAGAGCGATGAAGCGACAGATGTTAAAGGACATTGTCTAGGAGCACATTGAGCCACTAAACGCGTCCACAAGTTGCGGTCGAGTTTTTTCATACATTTTGTATAGTATCCTCGCAATCTACAATCGCAATCTTAGATTGCGACGCCATTTTTTTGTTTCCTCACAGGCGGGGGAGCGGGTGAGAAGTCCTCATGGATACCCTACAGCCGGCTACGGCTGCAGGGTTATTGATTTATTTATTTTAGTTACATGGAAGACCAACAGCTTATCTTTATTTAAGTTAATGTATTCTAGAAATGAATAGTAGCGACAGAGAGCCAATTACAGGTCCTTACATCTAGACATAACTTAAAGTTATAAAAAAGCTACTTGCACTGTCCAATGTAAAAAAAATATACTCTTAAATATAGTTTTATAAATGAGGTCTTAATGATAAATAACAGAATAACAAATTTCGCACCTGCTAATTATAATCTCCAAAAGAAAAACGATCAATGATACGTCTAATCGACGCTTCGCTAGTGTTAAAAATATTATTAAGTTATGTCACACTCTGACTAAAAAACACCCGTAGTTCATGCTTATGGCCGGAAGGGCCTTACAAGCTTCATCTGAAGCGATCATCCCCTGAGAGGGGGGCCTTCCCTGGGAGGGGGCCCTTGCTCTTCAGTCAGTCTCATTTGTATACCAGGGCGGTCCTCCTCGTCTCGTGGCACTGAACGACTCTCTGGCCGGCTTCGAAGTGGGCTTGAGGCGGATAGACGCGTGCGGTTGGCGCGCCCCGCTCACGGTGCATGTGTTCTGCGCGCGCTCCGGCCAATCCGCCGCCGCTGACATACTAGCCAACGCGCGCAGTTCCGCTCGCGTGCCACCCGGCTTTATACGAATGCTTCGCGGGTCTGTATCTTAACTAATACTTATATGTTGTCCTAACTAATGCTATATATATGTGTGTATTTCTTTGTGTATATACTCGTATATGTATATATTAACAAATGACATTGAAATTTACGCCGCTCTCTTTCCCACTTCCTTCTAATCCTCCATCCAAAGGTTCTCTGGAAGAGATCGAAGAGATTGAGACATTGTATACTTTTATCTAGGAAAAAATCAGGTTCCTGTAGTATAGGATTCTCAATTAACCAAAGTGAACGCGGACGAAGTCGCGGGCTGCCGCTAATAATTGAATAAGCAATCATTTTTAAGTACAAAGCAACTCAATACATTTCATTGATTTCATGATTTCATCACATATATCTTGTTGATAATCCTATATTCCCCTTTCTTTCGTAGTTCAGCATGGTGTAAATGTTTTGGTTACATATACATGTTTTATATTGAGTTGGGTCTCCTGCGCCTTGTTTATGTCATTTCTAAAACTCAATGTGTGATGCCGGCACTTAATTGGCTATTCGTATTTGCTATTAGTAAACTAGACAACAGTCTTTCCTTATCACGCTTTAGGAGTAAAAAGGACGGACTGGTGTCAAGTTTACAAGTAACAAACATGAATAGCCAAGTGAAATCCTGGCATAACGGTGGTAATTGATAAAGCATTATGCGGTTTGGAGATGGACGCTTGTTATTGAGATTACTTTGACGTGCAAGCGGTGCCTGTGTGAGCCGGCATTAAATTCACAATTTGTCTCTAGCGATTGTGTGTGTTTTTTGTTATTGGGTGTTTTTTTATTTCCACAATAAGACTAGAACGAAAAGACTTTTTATTTTATTTATTACATAGGAGACATTGTTTCCGTGTGAGACCAACTTTGCAATCGATCCTCACTTTGTTGTTGTTCTTAAACAAGTTGTAAGCGTACTTCATAACTACCCTCTATTTCTGTGAAATGTTTGATTTCATAACTGTATATTTTTTTATTTGTGTTCACGAAATGTTTGACCTGCTAAATTTTTTTTTTTTTAATATACACATGCTATAGGTTAGGTACTCCGGTACGAGTGAGGGGCCATGGGGGTTGGGCGGGGCGAACATGTACCAGTTACGATGCCCGCCCTCCGGCACAAGACCCGCCCACTACTGTGGGGGAAGCAGCTCCTGCTTTATACGACGGACGCGAGCAGGTATATAAAAAAAACGAGCGAGCCTTACAGTAGTCGCGTATGATGTGCAACATTTGGAACCTCACCTTATATTAGTAAAAAAAGAAATAAAACCTGCTACAAAAGGAAAAAGGCATTTGAACCTTATTTTCTTAAATCAAATCGCGTGCGCGTGCTTCCCAAACTTTCTGTAACACACTTGCGTCCCACTTCACGTTATCACTCCCACAAATTGCAGGAAAGCGAGAGGAAAGATGTTACACATCAATAATAGAGCACCGGCTGCAGCCGTGCTGTGTACAGCCCCTAGATGCCTAATGACAAAGTACTGTCGCTGAACAGAGATAATTTCGTACAATGACCTCACGCTACCCATCCTTATCGCTCGCACGCAATTATGTCGCTGTCACGCTTACACACATAACTGCACACGGTACGTGGGTCATTGTACGAAATTATATCTGCCGGGCGACCGTAATTTAGACAAATATACCTGAAAACACATCTGACTAATAAATCAGTTAATAATCCCACGGAAATATTCAAACAGTGTTGAACATTCTCGTAACCTGTTGACACACGTTAGGAGTGAAAAAAAAACCAAATGGCTCCGTATCTATTTACAATACCATCATCATATCATTTACAACATTATGACTTTGTATTAGCCAATGAAAGCGCAGCCCTTCTGCTTCGTCTTGCATCGGGCAGTTACCAGAATGCATTTAGTACTGAAAATATAACGTTAGGTATCTAGGGGCTGTGTAGTCGATGCAATAGAGAGACGTGATGAACTTCTTAGCAATCAACTTAAAGATGCGCGTCAACGCTCACCTTCACTGTTCTAGTTGTCACCCTTCCATACATTAAGGCCAACGAAAGAATGCGATCTTTTCAGGCAGCCAATCGCCAAACGGGCTTGTTATGTCTATCGATATCGCTTATGATTTCATTCAAACGCCTTGCGCTCTTTTTTTAACAATATTGGAGAAAATGAGCGTGAGGTATTTAAAAACCTTATGCGGTCAGAATAATATAGAAGAAATAACAAAATGCAATCGTAACCTATAGGGCTACCCATAGCAATGCTGTTAGGCGATTGGCCCCAGATCGTGTAACGACGAGAGATGGGCGAGAACGGATGTTGATGGGGGCAGGATGGGGCCCATGGCATGGCACTAGAGGAGTAAGCGTCGTGTCCACGAACTGTCTTTTCTATATAATTTTCGTCGCTACGCTTCTATACATTTTGTATGAAAAGGCCGCGGAAGAAACATATGCCTGCGCCCCGTCTGCGTCTAACATATTTTCTGTCTGTCCCATGCCTTAAAGTTGATTTTCGGACCTCTTTTTACTAGATCGAAAGTGTACTTTATGCTCTTAACTTAAAGAACTGACAAGACCTCTCAGGATCGCTTCTTCTTCTTCTTCCTTCGTTGGCTGCGCATTAGCTGTTGGTGTCCTTATGTGATGTCAGCTAGATACGATAATACGTGTGCCCTCCAGCACAAGGACCGCCCACTACTGTAGTGGATTAGATAGTAATTGGGTATATACGCAATTACGGGGCTGGAGACCCCGCTTAAACTATGCACTGCGAAGAAAACAACAATGTCATTTAGTTTTATGAAGGTGTTGCAACTTAAATAATACGAATTCTTTGTTGTGGTTTTCTCTAAAAATTTGTGTGAGCTTTCTATTATTTTTAAGCACAGTCCGTAAATCGACAGGTACTCTACTGGGCAGATTCGACCAACGAAATCGCATTCATCGTACCTTCGGGATGCGAACTCGACGACGACAATAAGTGCGATCTCGATGGTTCATGCCATTCCAGGTAGGTACTGATAGCTAAATAATTGTCATTTCATCATCAGTTTTTAATAATCACTGATAAACGCATAAAACTTCTTTACTAGCGATATATACTTATACTTTTTCCAGTGTCGCTTTACCAGCCTTCCTATCTTCTGTCCATAGTTCAGCAAATCTCATAAGTAAAATTTTAAGGGCATCCCCTTCAAACTTTGAGATTGCTGGCTTGGAAGAAGCTAGAAACGCTTTCTTAATTGCATGCCCAGGTCAAAATTTTCCAGTTTCTCCAAATTCACAGAGGAGCTGGGACGACATAAATTGTAAATTAACTTATAATAACCTTTTGAGCTGCAGTACAGGTTCGGAGCGTGCTAGGCTTTTAGCCGTGGGTACGCATGAGGCCGGCTACTGGCTTCACGCGTACCCTTCGACAAATACAGGCACATTTCTTGAGTCTGACACACTCCGAATGGCAACCTGTCTACGGCTTGGGGTCCCGGTCTGCGCTCCTCATAAATGCCCCTGTGGCAGTGATGTCGACAAGCTAGGACATCATGGACTGTCTTGCCAAAAAAGTGCAGGCCGCTTCTCGAGACACGCCGCACTTAACGATATCATACGCCGGTCCCTTGCCACCGTCAACATGCCAAGTCTACTTGAGCCAACTGGTATTGCAAGAGACGATGGCAAGAGACCGGACGGTATGAGTTTGATTCCATGGAAGATGGGTCGGGTGCTAGTATGGGATGCAACCTGTTCAGACACGCTGGCCCCTTCCCATCTACATGGAACCAACAACAGAGCTGGTGCGGCTTGTGAAGCGGCTGAAAAAGTTAAGGCAGGCAAATACAGGGGTCTAGGCTCCGAATATGATTTTGTCCCATTCGGTGTCGAAACTCTTGGTCCGTGGGGTCCTAGCGCTATAAGGCTTTTTAAAGAAATAGCGAAAAGATTAGTCGACAACACAGGAGACCGAAGAGCTGGCAGCTACCTCGGACAAAGAATAAGTCTAGCTATCCAAAGGGGGAACGCTGCCAGTATCTTCGGAACCTTGCCTAAAGGGACTCCTTTTAATAATGTAAAATACATTAGTTATTATATTTTATTTTTTAAGGTTTTTAGTTTTAGGTTCATCGTTATAGTATATTTTTTGTTTTAATTATTCTTAAATTTATTCATAAAAAAGAAATATAGGAAGATACAGAACGCATAACAGTTATTGTCGATATTCTAAAAATAATAAAGGATGGTTCAAAAGTGGTAGTTGGTTTCCGGCAGCGACTAATCATCATTTGAAAGCTTGTTTTATATTATATCATAAATAAATACTTATTTTTTTTTATTTATCTCCGATTAATTTTAAATCTTGTTTAAAAATTTAAAAGTTTTGTGAGGATGCTGGCGACCCTGTCATAATGAACATTCACATTTTTAGTGTGTGGCAGCTTATAACGTCAACTCAATAACTATGGCAAATGTCAATAAGTCCAGGCATGCATGATACTTATAATACTAATTTATGATTGATTCTTCTTGAAATGAAATACCTCATAATGTAATGAAGGTGAACAGAATAATTATCAGTGCCTTTGAATAAAATATATTTAATGCTTTGGCAACAAAAAAAAGATAAATAAACTTGCCATTTGCCAATAAATAATTACCGAGTAACTGCGGGTTACTTTGACCTAAAATGTGCACTTTTTGTTTTAAATAAAATTGTAGCTTCTCTTTGTGATGAATATGTCACGTTTATATCTTTCCATTGTGAAGTTTAAGAGCCCTTTTACAAAATTGCGCCTCTCTTGTTTAGGTAAATACGGCCACGAGCGTGTCCGAGTCGCACGAGCGAGACATCGACGCGGCGATGTTCAGTATAGCGCGCTTTACCAAATAGATACTTTAATATGCAATTATTGATTATACAATAAATGCCATTATAAAATAAAGTTAATTTGAAGTGCTAAGATGTATCCCTACTGTAGCAACGAACGATTCTAGATAAGCATCCTGAGTGGAGCAAAGGATACAAGAATTAAGTTTTTTTACTATTGTGAGAAAATAAATAATATATTTATAGTACCCATTGGTTGTGTTTTGGAAATGGCAATAAAGATTAATTATGATTGTTCCTAATTATTGTAACTTTATATGTATGCTTTGCATAACTTCTGTTTGTTCAAAATTTTTTTTTATTCACTCAGTAATTAAATGAAAAGTTTGTTCACTGTTATCGCTGAATGAAATCCCTTTTTCGAGTAGCAATGAGAAATAATATTTTATTTACTTGTGTTTTTTAGTATTGACTTTTTTAATGATGATTGATGTTTGGTGATAATCAAATATCTCAGTAAAACTGTACTAAGTACTGTAGTTTTGTCTTTGCCTTCATAGTTCATTTAATAAACAGATATAGGCAATACTGGAAATACATTTCCAATCCAGACACAGATATGGTACGTAAATCAGCAAGTTACTGTCAATTGAACTTATGGAGCAAAGAAGTCTAATATAAAATATTAAAAATAAACTTTTTTGCTCTAGAAATGCATCCCATTAGTTTGAGTTGAAAACAAAAAACCAAACTGCTAATATTGTAAACTATGTACCTAGTGTAGTAGTGAAATACCCATTAAGTCAGTATAAAACAGATAAAATATTTACATTTGAGTTTGACGCTTCCCTTTGTTGCTCGGCTTCGATTTCCAATCCAACAGCATTTTTCCCTATATAAATTAATTTATTATTATAAATTTAAATAATAATAAATTTATTGTTATAAATTTAATTTCTTTTTTCATTGTCTACTTCCAATAACAATTGAAAAACTTACAGTTTCCGTTGCAATCGAACCCATTGAACTTATGGTCGGTATAGTTTCAGTATTTTCGGGGTTGCCATTAAAATTTTGTTTCCATCTAAAATAAATAGAACTGTGAATTTCTATTCTAAATATATTATTTTGTTGGGTCAATATGTACTTTGGCCGCCCACGAGCTTACACTTGTTATACTTGATCGAAATGCAACATTTTACCGTACTCTAGCTTTTTTTTTTACAGACATAAGGGTAGATTGTAAGAAGCTTAAGTTTAAATCGGGGAATGTAGGGTGGTCACAACTGGCCGCTTTATTGGAAAACGCGTTTATAGCTATATCTCCTAAATTATTGACTGTACGGAAAAAATGTAGTGTTTTTTGTTTATTACTAAATTCTCTAACTTCTTTCTCTCAAACTTTTTATTGTAACTCTTACCGTTTTTCAATTGTTGTTGTATATTTGAACATGTTTGTAGTTTTTCCTTTATAAAACCTTAAAAATGTCATTACCTAATTGATAAAAATCGTCGTATACAAGTTATCCGTGATTAAATTCCCTACAAGTTTTGTATATTTTTTTTTATTAAATAAATAAATACTTCTGAAGTTAATAGTCGTTAATGTGCGCAAAAACGGGCATTGAAATGAAATTACAGAAGTATCCGAAAAATTCACTTACTTTCATACAAATTGAAGCTGATGATGATTTGTGTTGGATTGTTATCAATTAATTGTAAAAAAATGTAATAAAAAAATATGGGAAAAATATAAATATTATAAATAATATTAGTGATGACAATCAATTGCACGTATACAAAACTCTGATATACTGCGTTATTGCTACGTTAACGACTCATAACTTTAAAAGTATTTATTTAGTAAAAAAAAGATTTATTTAAAAGTTGTAGGAAATTTAATGATGAATAACTTTCATAACATGTTTTTTTATCAATTAATGGCATTTTAAAGGCTTTAAAAATAAAGCGAAATGTTATAAGCATATTCCTTGCTTCACAAGCTTTCTTTATGGCTGCATCATTCTTTCGTTTTCTTTTTGACACAATGGTAAGCAGGAATTTTACGCCCCATTGTAAAAGCTAATAACAAAAATATTAGTTGAAGCAATGATAATTAATAACTAGGGAGGTACTTATAATAATAAAAATTAATACGGTTGTGGAAATTTACATACAGTCAACGATTAAAGTTTTGCGGTCGTAGTATATCCAGCCAGTTTTACGATGAATGCACTCGTAGCATTGCTCAGGACGCGTGCCGTACAAAGCGACATAGGTCCGACCTCCAAAGGCGCTGGCGCCGTACTGAAAGGCGCCTAGATTTGCACTAGTATATATTGCATTTTACGGGTGATGTTCAGAGTCTTATAAAATAATAATTAATGAACTTATTATAAAAATATATACATATTTCAATAGTTCAATGATTGTAGATTAGTTTAATGACAGTTTTTTATAGTAATTCTATTTAATTCAATATCAAAATACGAGGTAAACCTGCGTTATTTTTTGGGGAAACTCACGGAGGTTAGATGTTTTTTTAATAATTAATGAGATGGAAAATCAAGATTCTAATACATTATGTTGCAACAAAAACATATTTCTGATGTCTACTACATCAGAAATATGTTTTTGTTGCAACATTAATTTGATCTAATTTATTGAACATTATTGTGAGATTTAGGCGTTTTAAGTTGTGCATATTATCGTTTTTTCCGTAAACTAGCTGCGGTAGAACCATCAGTACAAAAAAATGAAAATAGTATTTGCAAATATTCTACATTAATTTTTAATAGGAAGAATAAATCTACTGTTTACTTCTATTGGAAGTAGTCAAAACCTCTTCTAAGGGGGCAAACGAGGCGCTCAAAAATTGCGATTTATTGCAAAAAATGTGAAAGGGCTCTTAAAGTATAAGTTACAAAGTAATCATACGAAAATAGGAAAAAATAATATTTAAGGGTTAATATATATTTTTTTAATTTTGGGTCAAAGTTGGCCTTAAAGAGGGTTACTTTAGCTCGTTGAGTTTTCTCTGTGAAAAAAACTCATTTTAAGCCATGTTGGGGTTAGGTAACCCTTATAACAGATCACCATTAGCATACTGAATACACAAATGGATGTTTTTGCCCAAAAATAATTAAGTTAAATTAAAAATATAACTTCAAATTTAGAAAAAATAGAAAACTTACCGAAAGCCACAGTTTTGAGAAAGTTTGCGCATGAACTTGCGAACTATTTCAGTTACAAAAATTCCCGCGTTACAATGACAACTTGATACAGGCACGATGTCGGTAAAACAAAATAACACTACGCGCCCATATGGCTATCTGTGATTTTCAACTGGAACTATTACGGTCACCCGAGATGCTGATGGGGCGGCAAGTTCAATATTTTTTCTGTTACCTCAAAGTTACCCTCCCGAGCTAAAGTAACCCTCACTTATGGTATATACTTTTTTAAGAAAATAATTATTTCAAAATCGGGGATAAAATAAATTCTAGATTTTTGCAAAACGATTTACCAACAAGTTCCCTACGTGTCACAAAATATTTCCCTCCATACAAATTTGAACCGTGTCCTTTTGTACCCACAACACTAGTTTCCATTTTGACTTACCAATTTTTTTTTCCGCCTGTTTTTATAACTCGAAACGAGAATGAAATTAAATGGAACGTTATAGGAATTCAGAGAAAGCGACGGGATCTTCTTGGGACGTATCGGGCGCAGTGTCGTATGAACGGTCCGTTTCAGAATCTGACAAAGGTACCACTAATGACAAGCCACGTCTGGAACTAGATTTGGACCGACCTCCTGTTGGTCTGCCAGGTCAGTGAATCCTACCTTAATATACATGATTACCTAAAGGTTGCAATGCTAATAACTATATATATAACCTTCTATATTATGTTCTTTCATAGGTAGCGGAAGGCGTAACAGAGATTTCACAACAAAAATTCTCATAATTTGGTTAGAAGATTACGAGGATCATCTCAATTTGCCCATCGGTACGTATTCATAGGAAATACCGCCTACTTTTCAACTTCTTCTACTTAAGTCAGGGCTTGTTTACCGGTTAATTTTCAAACCTAAAGCAGTATCAAGTATATTAGGAGCGTTTTATTTGGGTTTGGCTCTACCTTAACCTTAAAAATACCGGTTTTCCTAAAAAGCGAAATCAAATAAGTTTTGAATCCATTTAGCGGTTTTTATAGGGGTTTCATTTCGCTCTTACTGACGACATCGCCTTCGCTGTTTCAATTCAAATTTATAATGATTTTATGTCAGTTTCTTTCCAACTACAGAGCGAGTGAGTGAAGTAGTGTATTAGTACACAACTACAAAATGAATAACTTGACTCACTAGACGCTAGCAAACGTGTCAATAAATGCATCAGTCTCTGAGCATTAACAAATTGTGACTTGATTAGTTCAAACTAAACAAAATTCAAGCGATGCCGACGCGTACACATGTCGCTCTGGATTAAACCGGTTTATTAAGGTTTTAGGTACCGCTTTCATTTTCGACGCGCTCCGAACGAAACCTTAATAAACCGGTTTAATCCAGAGCGTCACGTGCACGCGTCGGCATTGCTTGAAGTTTGTTTTGTTTGAACTAATCAAATCACAACTTGTTAATACTCAGAGATTGATGCATTTATTGACACGTTTGCTAGCGTCTAGTGAGTCAAGTTATTCATTTTGTAGTTGTGTATTTATTTCAGCCGTCAGTAAGAGCGAAATGAAACCCTTTTAGAATTCATGCAAAACCTATTTATTTCGCTTTTTAGGAAAACCGGTTTTTTAAGGCTAAGGTAGAGCCAAACCTAAATAAAACGCTCCTAATGTACTTGATATTGATTTCAGTTTGAAAATTAACCGGTAAAGAAGCCCTGCTTTATTGTTCAATTTATACTAATAAATCACGTCTTTTGAATAAAGTAAAAGTATGATTTACGATCCCGGCTGAATCTGCCAGTCGTTAGCACCCACCAATCCGCACTGGGCCCGCGTGGTGTCACAAATCACAACCCAGTTCCCCGATTCCGTCCATAGGAAAGGCATGTACCACAACAGTGAGGACATTAATCGGCTGATGATGATGAAGCTTTAACTATCGCACATTTAACGCAGCGCACGCTTTTAAATTCTTTTTTCTGTGAATGTAATAATTACGTTGTATCATATAATAGTTTAAAAGTGTAAATAATAATTACGTTATGACTCATTTGAGTATGTGTGTGTGTGCATGAGTATGCGTGTATGTATTGTGTAAACCCCGCATTCTATTAAAAACACATACTTTTAATAACCAAAGCACTACGCGTTCGCTTCGAATTGGCTGCTTCCTCCCTCCCAGCTTTAGAACACCGCGCTTTAGACAGTCCCTATTAATGGACCGTATTGGACGATGGCACCAGTTGATGTGCCTGTGATTGGTCATCGACGGCCAACTCGAAACAAACGAGTAGTATTTGACGGGACTAATGTGAACTAACTTTTCTCTATTTTGTTTTTCACCTCCCTATTTTCTTGTATACCTACTTTTATCTTTACTATCCTTCTATGCTTCCTCTTTCCAACTTCTGCCCGCGCCCCTGGCTGTATCAAATAGCAGCCTCGAGTAAGGACAGTATATTATTAAACACGTTAAAATTTGAATAAAAATAACCTAGTTAAGAGACATGTTGTCAATAATTGAATAAAAATACTATGAAAAAAGAAACTATTGCTCATTTCAGACGACCTATTGAAGTACTGTGAGACGGGTGTGCCGTGGCGGCGGCACGAGGTGTGCGCGATATGCGTGAGCCCGCGGCGCTCGGGGTTGTTGCGCGTGCGCACGTGCGCGGCCGGGCCCGCCGGCGTCGCCGCGCCCGCTACCGGTGCGCTCGCCGACGGCGCGCAACTCGCGCCCCGCCTGCTGCCCGACTGCCTGAGGCGGGCCGCGCTCGACCGCGCGCGCCGAACCCGCCATAACACTGACCTGTGAGTGCCTCATTCTTTTTGAAGTGAAACTTCTTTACACACTCTTGATTTGGGGGGTAAGATGGCGAATGCGTTACGCGTTACTAAAAGTGTGTTTGGGCGAGGCGAACGGGAGTTGAGTGGAGGATGTAAGCAAGCAGTGCGCGCACTCATTTTCTTTCTCTCTTTCTCTCATAGCTAGTAAATGATATATGTGTGTATATACATGTATATATTGTACACACACATCTATACATACAAATAAAATTGGAGTGTCTGTTTGTAATATTGAAATAATCGCTTTTTACTACATGCATATATAATATATATATACAGTACATACACCAAAATAACATTTTTTTACAATTATTGCCTGTCTGTCTGTCTGTTTGTTCCGGCTAATCTCTGAAATGGCTGGACCAATTTCGACGGGACTTTTATTGGCAGGTAGCTGTTGTAATAAGAAGTAACTTAGGCTACTTTTATTTTAGATAAAAAAAAACTAAAAGTTTTTTTATCTAAAAACGACCGCGGACGAAGTCGCGGGCGACCGCTAGTATATATATATATATATATATATATATATATATATATATATAGATATATATATAGATATATATACATTCAGATGGAGCTAAAGAAGTTTTACTTCAGTCGTGTGGTCATAAGCACACTCGTTTTTTTACGAGGTGCAACAAAGTACCCCTGTCCACCTAAGTGCGCGAGCACACGATGCGTTGCGTCGTCGCACCGCAAATATTTCGCCGTATCTGTGGGCACACGAGCGGTGTGACGCCGTAACGTTGTTATGCCACAGCATCGCCGCCAGCGCTCCAGCAGCATACATTCCCTATGACGCATTAATAACTGAGCGGTGCCACTCTGACGTTGCAACACATTCACCTCTCTCCGCCTCGTCCCGGCGGTTGCAAGTCCGGTACGGCACCGCTCTGCATCGAGTTATAGCCATACCACAGATATTTCTACGTAAGACGACGCACAGTGGGCGAAAACGATAAAAAGTACGCGCGAGAAAGTTAATCTAATCCAAATGAAGTCATTGTTTTTAAAATACTCGTAATTATGTCTGCTTTGCGGAATTTTTTTTGGTGTAGAAACCACCCCTACCAACCCCTAAGCAGGCTTAACCACCAGACTCTGGGTAAATGGTAATGGTAATGTGGAAATGAGGTGTATCGGGGTTGAGGTTGGCTAGCCTATCTGTGTATAAAATATATATTTCCTAAAGAAAAGTTTTACTAGAAAAAATCCACGCGGACCAGGCAGCGGACGGGACTCGAACCCGCACCCTTCGCAATCCGGGCGAATGCACTGACCAATTGTGCTACCACGGTCCTGATGGCAGAGTCGAAATTTTCCTAGCCTTAAGCTGCAAGGCAGCGCTGTCTCTTCGTATTGTAGGTAACCCACAATGTCAAATGAATACTTTTTCAGGGTGCGGGTTCGAATCCCGTCCGCTGCCTGGTCCGCGTGGATTTTTTTCTAGTAAAACTTCTTTAGATTTAAACATCTAGCAGTTAAATGCTTAAAAAATAAAAACATAACCGTAATTGAGGGTTACTTTAGCTCGGGCGGGTAACTTTGACCCAAATCAGAAAAAAGTTTGAACCTGCCGCCACATCCGTATCTCTTGGGTGAGCGTAATAGTTCAAGTTGAAAATCACAGTGGTGTTGTTTTGCCAACGTCGTTCCTGTATCAACCTGTCATTGTTACGCGGGTTTTTTTGTAACTGAAATAGTTCGCAAGTTCATGCGCAAACTTTGTCGTAAAACTGTGGTTTTCGGTAAGTTTACTATTTTTTACGTTGATGATAAATTCAAAAGGTTTTATACAAATTTACTTGTTTATATTTAGGGAAAGATAAGGAGGTATACTTTAGCCCATGTTTTTGGGTAACTTTGTCTTTTAGGCCAAAGTTACCCGTCAACCTTACATTTAGAAATAATACAATAAAACTATACCTACTAAACACAAACAAATTTAGCGCAAATTAGTAATCTCAAGACGCCCTTAACTACCTCAATTACTACTTACATGTATTTTAAATTAGCTATCATCTTTTAACGCTACTTTATAATTTACTCGTATGTTCTAGAATTTATAGGTTTTTGTTTTCTAAATTTCCAGCCTTACACATGCATAGTGTAATGAAACTAGTTTCGTGTGTAATGAAAAAAAAGTTGTTAAGAAAAGAAAACTTCATGTTCTTACTTTATGTTCTTTAACTTCAAGTCCATCTGCGTTGCTGATCTGATAGAAGCAGGGCCATCCGGTTTGCAAAACAATAAAACAAAAAACAGACGAAAAAGCAACCAAAACATACCCTATCTTCATCAGCAAGCGGCAGTTATTTTATAATTTTATTATGTTACTACAAAGTTCCTGTAGTTAAGTAAAGGAAATTGTTCAGCGTCCATACATAGTTAGCCTAAGAACCAACAATCATGAAATATTATTTTCTAGGTTCGAAATCGTAAGTAAATAAATGACTGTAAAAACAAAGATTATTGACGGACACTTCTGAGAACTTAAATTACTAGGAAAACTATTTTTTTTTGAGGTTATGTTTAATATTCAATGAAACATAGGTCAACCTATGAACTTAGTATGTACTCAGTATGAAGTAAATTAATATTACAACAAATTCATTTTATTCGGTGCGATTTTAAAGAATATCTATTAGGAAAATTTGGTTAGGTAGGAATCATGAATAAAATAAAAACTGTAGTTTTGCTTCTTATTTATATATCATATTGTAAATTATATTTATTTGTATATCACATGTATATTGTGTAAATATGCAGCGTGAATGTGTATCGGGTGTTCTTGAATAATTAAGCAGTATGATCCTCTCAGGATGTTGTGGCACAGGTTCACTAGCACTTGGTAATAAGGGCTCTTCTCTTTGGTAACATCGATGGCATATTAGATAGCCTGATAATCAAAATAGTTAAATTAAAGGAAAAACAATCGCAAATAAACACACACAACAGGTAATCTGAAACGAGAAAGAATGCACTTTCCGGTACATATTGAACTACTCTTTGGAATGCACGAATGCCACAGATTACTACGAATGCAAACTGCCTGCACCACAACCACAGAGTAACGAGTTTTATGCCGGCCCTTCACTTGACAAAAGTTTGTCCTTGTCATGCTTAATAAGGGTAGTTTTCCAATTACAGCACTAGAGCGAATTATGCGGCATAATGCTTATCGTTGAATGTTTCAACTACAGCAACGATTCGCACAATCGAGCACTCTTAAAAGTACCTAATGTTTTCGTGTGATGCGTGCAATCTACCAACTCAGTGACAGAAAAGAAACAAGTTTTTTTTCTTTAAGTTTTGTTGAAAATTTTTAAAGCTTTCGTTTCATTGTAGTTTTTTTAAATAATCAAAGTTAATTCAAACTGTGTTAAAAAAATAAAAAATAAGTATGGATGAAGGTACAAACATTGACTTAGCGCACTCTGCTGGTGCATTTGAAAGCTAATTCACGTTCCAATTAAGCATCAGCATAATTCGGCATTGTGCGCCACTGAGTCGCAATATGCTCTGTAATTGGAAAACTACCAAGGAATGAAAAGGACAGACTGATGTCATGTTTTAAAATAACAAATACAAATAGCCAAGTGAAGTGCCGGCATTAGGAAGAAATAGTGTTTTGTTTGCAGCGCTGTCATAGATTATACACATAAAATGGTATTTATTGTTTCACATTATTTTTTAACTTTTTAATTTAGCTTACTTAACTGGTAGTGTCCGTCACAATCTAAATACTGATAATTATCGCAAAAAATATACTAAGAATTATCATAAATGCCAAATTGGTGTTGGTTCTTAGGCCAATTTTAACATTGTCCTTCAATTACTTACCAAAGTATAAATATTTTATGTAGCTTTATTGACGAAATTCAGAATTTGTCAATATTTCGTTTCACGTTTGATTAATAAAAATCAATTCGTTTTTTTATTATTGAACTAAATTATTTTTGGGAAAAAATATCCATTTGTGTATTAAGTACGCTAATAGTGACCTGTTATAAGGGTAACTTAACCCCAACAAGGCTTAAAATGTGTTTCTTTTTTTTGCAGAGCAAACTCACCGAGCTAAAGTAACCCTCTTCTAAGGCCAACTATGGCCCAAAATTAAAAAAAAATATTAACCCTTAAACATTATTTTTCCTATTTTCGTATGTTAACTTTGTAACTTATACCTTAAAGTTCACAATGGAAAGATATAAACGTGACATATTCATCACAAAGAGAAGCTACAATTTGATTGGAAAAAATAGTGCATATTTTAGGTCAGAGTAACCCGCAATTACTCGGAACTGTAATTGCTATTTCTTCTTTCAAATGTTTAATATTTGAAAAAGTATTCATTTGACACTGTGGGTTACTTACAATGCGAAGAGATGGCGCTGCCTTGCAGCTTAAGGCTAGGAAAATTTGGACGCTGCCATTAGGGCCGTGGTAGCATAATTGGTCAGTGCATTCGCCCGGATTGCTAAGGGTGCGGGTTCGAGTCCCGTCCGCTGGTCCCCGTGGATTTTTTTTAGTAAAACTTTTCTTTAGATTTAAACATCTAGCAGTTAAATGCTTAAAAAATAAAAACATAGCTATATTTCCTTATAAATATTTAGTTGATCGAACTTGTTGTACCCAAAATATTAATAATTGTATCTTTACCCCAGCATGTTGCGAAGCATGGTCAATGTTCGGCTGATGCCTTTTCTTACCATGATCTTATCTATTTGTGCTATAAAATTCGTCCTCCTAAGCCTAAGCCTAGAAATTGTTCTTTAGCGTAATTTTAGTGGTATGAATCGTGAAGCATTTCTTCAGGACACATGTAGATTGGTCACCCGTATTTTCTGCTGAGACTGTGGATGATGAGCAGGTGGCACATTTCAATGCTCTGGTCATAAAGTTATATGACAAGCATGCACCTTTTCGAGCCATTAAATTAAAACATCTTCCTGCACCCTGGCTTACGGATGATATAAAATCGTTGATGCCTATGCATTTTTGTATCTACTCTTAGCAGAAGCCTTTCTATAAAGGCTTCTGCTAAGAGTAGATACAAAAATCGGCCAAGTAACTATAACAAAGATACCTATATTAAAATTCGTAATCGCTGCAATAAGGTGTGTAGAGATGCATTAAGCCGTCACATTCATTATTCAGACAGTATTGAAGATCCTACTAAAGTCTGGAAATTCCTAAGATCGTTCGATATTGGAAAATCAAAGGAAGACACGGATTTTCCTAAAATTAATTTGGATTCTCTCAATAATTATTTTTCCTTTTACATTTACTTTCCTTTTCGACAGTATAATTTCTAAAGCTCGGTTTCATTTCCTTCTGCTTGGGAAGACGCCCAGATTGCCCCTTTGCCTAAAATATGCTATATAATCCTAAAGTCCTATCTGAATTTCGTCTATATCCATTCTTCCTTTTTTTATCCAAAGTGCTTGAACGTCTCCTTCATAAACAGATCAATAATTTCCTTATTCGCCATAATCTCCTTAATCCACTCCAATCAGGGTTTCGTCCTGGCCATAGCACTGTCACTGCTTTATTCAAGGTTACTGATGATATCCGACTTGGTATGGATAATAGTCGCCTAACTGTGCTAACTTTATTGGACTTTAGTAACGCTTTTAACACCGTCGACTTTGATGTTCTCCTATCCGTGTTACGCTCTCTTAACATATCTCCAACGGTAATTGAATGGTAAGCAGTAAGTAAGCAGTTATCTGTATGGGCGTAGGCAGCGTGTTCGCCTTGATGACCAATACTCGTCATGGTGCGACACGTCTGCTAGCGTTCCGCAAGGCGGCGTATTATCTCCTCTTCTTTTTGAAATATTTATTAATTCTATCTCTTTAAATTTATCTTCATTCTACCACCTTTATGCAGACGATTTACAGATATATTGCCAGGCTCCACTTAAAAAACTTGAAGAAGCAGTATAAAAAAGCAATCTTGATCTATGTCGAATTGCGGAATGGAGTAAAGCTTTTGGCCTTAATGTTAACCCTATTAAAACTCAAGTTATAGTAGTAGGTAGCTCCAGATTATTGTCACAAATTAACTGGATTGCTCTTCCTAAAGTAAAATTCGAAGGAACTTGATATACATTATAGTACAACGGCGAAAAATCTGGGAGTGATATTAGACAGTACATTGAGCTGGGAGCCACAGCAACAAGCTGTAAGTCGGAGGCTGTATGCGTCTGTTGGTTCATTAAGAAGACTTCGTAACTTTTTACCTACTGCCACTAAAATTATGCTATCTCAATCTCTGTTACGTCCAGTCCTTGATTATGCTGACGCCTGCTATCCTGACCATACGGAGGACCAGCTAAATAAACTTGAGCGCCTTCAAAATTTCTGCATCAGGATCATATTTGGTTTAAGAAAATATGATCACGTTTCCCAGTATCGCTCTCAACTCAAGTGGCTTCCAATTCGTTGTCGCCGGATACTCATATACTTTCCCTTCTTCATAATGTTTTGTTTAATCCCTATTACCCCAATTATGTCAAAGAACTTTTCAGTTTTCTCCACAGTTCCCATACCCAGACGTTACGCTCATCAGAAAATCTGAGCCTTAAAACTCCTGTACACAATACCTACCTCCTTTTATAAATATTCTTTTTGTGTTGAAGCTGTGCACAGACTATAGGAAAGTTTAGAAGAAACGTAAAGGATTTTATTCTTTTACAATAATTGTTTGTGTTGTTCCCTTGCATTCTCTCTGTTTTTGCTTGCATCATATTAGTCCAGGCAACGAAAAGGTATAGAGGGAATTGCTTAGAACACAATTTTTGACTTCGTGACTTTGTTAGGACTAGTTAGGAGGTAAACATATCAAAAGTCCCCGCCCGTAGCCCTTAAGCCGGGGGGAGGGGGGGGGGCTTGAAGGTCCCATTTTTAGGTTTTTCGCATATATCTCGAAAACTATGCATCCTAGCGACATGAGACTTTCACAAAAGTGAAAGCTGATTAAATTTGCTACAAGTCTTATTCAGTCAAATTTTTTGATATCTTGTATAGTTTTCGAGATATCCGCTCGTGAAAGTCTGTAATTATGGAAAAAAAATTTGTTCCCATTTTTGCTCTATTTGACCGGATAATTCTTCAACAATGCACCCAAAAAATAAATGCCGGCCGTAGGGTTGTAGAGCATTAAATTATCTTCAATAATAGAAACAATTGCCTTTTTTTTTTATTTAAGGACAAAATTGTTAGTGTAGTAGACGTATGGGGGCGGTACGGTGGGCACTAGGCCGCGTACTCAGCCCCCACGCGCGGGCCGTCCTGCGCACGTCTGTGGGGTCCTCGCGATACCCCGGGAGACCCCTGCCGCGGAACCTCGGCAAGGCCGGGAGGCTGCTAGGTGCGGAGACGCGGAAGAATCCCTAAACGGGGATTCCGCGGCTTCGCACTAAGCAGCTTAGAGGGTGTTCGCAGGGTTTTTTAGCGGATATTATGCCGTATAGCGCCCGTAAGGGTTACGGGGTCCTCAGTGGGCAGCCACTGCTGGGGCTCGTAAGGCTTGCGGGAGCCAGGTGTGAGGTCCATAAGTAAAAAAGAAAGTAAATTAGTGTCATTGAGAAACTGTAATTATCTAATAATAATATCTGTAATAATGATATCCGCTCTTGAAAATCTGTAATTATAGAAAAAAAAATGCTTTACATTTATGCTCTATTTGACCGGATAACTCTCGGATAACTAACTAATAGCACACATGCTCATTTTAGAATATGTACTTGTTGGCCCACTGACCAGGTTCTTCACACAATCCAGAAAATAAGTTTATAAAAACTGCAAGAGTTAACTACTTTATGCAAAAAAGGTTATTATAAATTAGATGATTATTTAAATGATAAGATTGTCTGGTGTTGTATTGGTCCAGCTCAACACAAAAAGTAGTATTAAGAATGATTAAAATTATAAAACTGGACTTTAAAAAAAATTGAGACGGTAGGGCCCTGTGCCTCTGGTTTTTTTCCGGTTCTCATTGGCTATACAGGTACGAATACGGCAGCAGTTTTCGATACAATTCACTGTGACGTGCAAAAAGAGATTTGTAAAAAAAATCCAATATAGTTAATTTCTTGCTCTTTTGGGGTGGGAAGGACCTTGATCCTCGTCTTCGTTTACATTTTCTTTGTCTGTGTCATTTTCTCCATCGGAACCCTGTAGGGAAACGGTCAGAGGATCTTCCTGTTCTTCTTCACCTTCGGAGTCAACTTGAGGGACCCCATTCAAGCAGTTCCCCTGGCAATTTTGGCACGCTGGGGAACAGGAACGCAAGACACCCCCTTTAGTCAATACGTCTACTACCCTTTTTTTTATACGCAGGCAAAAAATACTATTTACAGACGACGGCGCCTTTAAGAGGCACACCGCCGAACGGACCTCACACCTGGCTCCCGCAAGCCTTACGAGCCCCAGCAGTGGCTGCCCACTGAGGACCCCGTAACCCTTACGGGCGCTTTACGGCATAATATCCGCTAAAAAACCCTGCGAACACCCTCTAAGCTGCTTAGTGCGAAGCCGCGGAATCCCCGTTTAGGGATTCTTCCGCGTCTCCGCACCTAGCAGCCTCCCGGCCTTGCCGAGGTTCCGCGGCAGGGGTCTCCCGGGGTATCGCGAGGACCCCACAGACGTGCGCAGGACGGCCCGCGCGTGGGGGCTGAGTACACGGCCTAGTGCCCACCGTACCGCCCCCATACGTCTACTACACTAACAATTTTGTCCTTAAATAAAAAAAAAGGCAATTGTTTCTATTATTGAAGATAATTTAATGCTCTACAACCCTACGGCCGGCATTTATTTTTTGGGTGCATTGTTGAAGAGTTATCCGGTCAAATAGAGCAAAAATGGGAACAAATTTTTTTTCCATAATTACAGACTTTCAAGAGCGGATATCTCGAAAACTATACAAGATATCAAAAAATTTGACTGGATAAGACTTGTAGCAAATTTAATCAGCTTTCACTTTTGTGAAAGTCTCATGTCGCTAGGATGCATAGTTTTCGAGATATATGCGAAAAACCTAAAAATGGGACCTTCAAGCCTCCCCGGCTTAAGGGCTACGGGCGGGGACTTTTGATATGTTTACCTCCTAACTAGTCCTAACAAAGTCACGAAGTCAAAAATTGTGTTCTAAGCAATTCCCTCTATACCTGTTTTTGAGCATTCGTTGCCTGGACTATATTATAATTATTAAATTTATTAAAATGTGTATTTTATTTTATGTAACGATGTATGTTTTTTATTTGTTTTTTTCAGTTTCTATTTTATAATATGTACAGTGATTTTAATCATGGTTATATTTTGTTTTCATTTTTTTTCTATTTTAATTTTGTAGTTGCACACCCCTTCTTTAATTATATTTCGTCTTTCCATCCTATGGTTGTCTGGAAGAAATGGCTACATAGCCATAAGACCGCCAATTGTCCACCTTTTTAAATTATTGTCCTAATTTCGTACTTTCTAATGTGGTGTGTTCAATAAAGAATTATCTATCTATCATCAGCAGACAACGCAACACCACCAAAAGGTAGTTTTATATTGCTGTGGATGTTCCCCAGACGGGCCCTCCAATTCGAGCGGGAATTCCGCTGTGCCCTACCATACTTATTATTCTAAAATTCTGAGGCCGCACTATCGGCGTAAAGTAAATATTTGTCGCGTAAAACATTCGCCCGTTTTCTTGCCAGTGAGATTTCAAGTGGTTTGCATGTAGTAATTAATATATTAGCGGTTCGATGTGGTGATAAAATATGACAGGGTAGGCAACACGCGAGCGAGTATTTTGAACATCAGAACTAAAGGCTGTACTGGCCGCTTACCATTATCAGGCGGATTACATAAAAGGTCAACCGAACAAATGTTCGAAGTTAGAATAGCGACTGAAATAGTCTTACTTTTCAGATATCAACCGCCGCACGTGAGAAGACGCCACCTGATACAAGAATTGGCACAGCAATATAAAAAAGATCTGACTGAACCGGAGCTTCTTGAGTCTCTTTTCCGATCGCCTTAATTAAACCGTTCGTGTGGATGCACTGCTACCTAACAAATTGATCGAATTAAAGAGAAGTTTTTTTACGCGCATGGACCCCACGCCTGTATACATTATGAAACCCTCGAAATTTATATTTATAACTGGTTTCTATTTCCATAAATTTATTCATGTGACTATTTAATATCAGATAAGCATTTTTATTGTAACAAATATTTTATTACGAATAATGTGTAATATTTATAATCCAAAGTATTATTATATTCACTTAAGAATGAATTGTTTAACTTAATTTTAAGACTGATTTTAGTTAATTTTATTTATATAATAATAACATTCCCGAATATAAAGCTTAAGAATGTTTAAAATATTTATGTAATTATACTGTTGTGTAAATTAAGTACTTAATTATTAAAATGTTATTTATTTATCTAAACTTGTAATTATTATTATATTGCAAAAGAGTGCAAGATCACACCTGTGTACAAAAACGTACAGAGAGCCACAGGTCAGGTTACCCAAAACTGATGAATTTCTCCAACTATTTGAGCTTTATATTGCTTGATTTAAGATTCAGAGTAAATAGCAGATACCGTCTGTACATTACATAATACCAAAATGTAAAACTCATCTTTAAAATCCTTCCATCACCGGAAGCAACCGAACTGAACATATCAGCAGCAGTATGACGGTTAAATTTTTATGTGACTTATACGAACTCAAGAATACTAACTAAAGGCCTTTAGTTATTATATTGAGGATACTAAACTCTGATAGAAGCACAATTATTGACCTGTTTTTTCAGAAGAACTTAGTAGCAACCCGGAATATCATTTCTATTTACCGTCAATATCAAACAAAGCCGTTATTTTTAAAGTACTACGAGCCAAATTTGCAGTAGCTATGACTGCTATATTGGTTTAGTTTCAGTTGATTTGACCATGAAACCTTTACAGAACTACTTACGTTACTTATGCTCATAATTATAAAATCTGTTTATCGATTCGACTATAGGTACCACTGAGTGTGAGTCTTTATACATCATTCATTGACGTATAAAAACAAATAGACTCCATCGCCGAAAAAAGTGCAGCAAAAACGCCCTAGTTGCGTTGTATAATTTTATATACAGTTTCAACAAACATTTGTTTAAATTAACACGTTATGTCGTGGCAGTAAGGTTCGATCTCAATTGTTTACGAGGTAGTTAGATTACGGTGCGAGAGAGACATACGCGATCACGTGACACATAGGGAGAGATAGCTATTAAAATGTTATTAATCATCAGAACGGTAGAACAAGCTCCGAAAAATATTTCCGTAGTTTTATTTGACTACTTTACAGGTACTCTCGCCAAAAACACGATACACTTCATGTTTTTAAGTGTGGATCAAGTGTCATTTGCACAGTTTTTAACCGAACACTTATTCATTGCGTAAAGTTGTAATCTAAGCGCGGTTGAAACACGACTGTTTGAAAATTACGCACAATAGACGCATCTGCGTAATTTTCCTTTCCACACTTTTTTGAGTGCGATTGTTTATACGTCAATGACATCATCCTAAAAATACCTTGTAGAAAGAAACCATGAAACCTACTTCATATTTGACATTATTATTTTATTATTGTAATCTGTAGAAGTCAAAAATGAAACGAAATGTCACGAATTTTAAATATCGAATGCAGTCGAGCAAATGACCTCGTTTTTGAAAATTTATATTGAAAATGAAGAGTGAAATTTTGCAATAATTAAGTAATTTGTCAGTTAGAGTTTTTGTAGTAATATATTATATTTATTTACATTGCATATTTTTAACACTTTATGTTGGCGTTTTCAATGTCCTAAATTATGTTGATAAATAGTGTCAATGAAGCCAACGACAGTGAGCAAATATCTGATCTCCCTGCTGAGTGTCACACTGATGACCACGCCTGTGAATACCAAACTGCAGATGAACTTTTTGAATTAATGGCAAGAAATCACCAATATGATTGTAATGGTGAGACATATTTAACAGTACTTTGGAATGTAAACTAAAAAAAGTAACCTATTACTGCCTTTAGATACCTACATAGTCATAAGTTTCCTTAATTTATGAACTTATCCTAAAAGTAGGCATATTATACATTGTTTTCTAAAAACAAAATTTTGTCGTCAGGTCATTCCCTTTCGCCTAGCGATTTAGTGATATTATATAGAAACATCGAAATGGGCACACAATTGATGAGCGGTGCTGAAACTTTGAATTGTTCTAAATCTAACCAGTACGTAGAAACTGTCGTGTACAACGAAGACCCCGACTCAGATGGCACCGATAGTAGTGAAATATATTCAAGTGACGACCTGTACAATGTGGTTTTGTTCAACAAAGACCGAATCGACCTTTTGAGCAATCCATCATCACTGAAGAATACCTTGTGTAACAAATTGGGCGATATAGAGATGCCAACCGCCAACATATCAGTGCATTATAACAAGCGCTTTCTTTACAATAACCCATACATCAATGAACAGCTAACAAATTTGAATATTATATTAAAATCCACATCCGAAGAATTCAATGGTCCCTTACTTTCATCTTCACTATTAGATTACATTTCTTGCAAGCGGATGGATAACAACTACGATTTCTACATGGATAATATTATAAAATATGTGCAACACACTATCGAGCAGCTGAGACGGATAAGCAACGGAGATTATTTAACTGACAGAGCAAAAGAGAAATGGAAAGAATCCAATTATGCTGATAATAAACATAATGATTTTGAAAATATGAAAATACTCGCCACCTCCGCCAGCATCCCACTACAGGTTGAACAAAAAGCTAACTTTCATTACAGTACATGGGATGATATAATACATTCAGAGGTGGATGTAAGATCCTTGTGCAAAATTTTAGAAAAAAAAGTAGTCGTTGAAATCCCTAAATTAATCCAAGGATCTTATAAATTGTTTAGCAAATTGCATTCAGACAACTTAGTTCTTTGTTGTAAAAAAAGACAGGAATCAAAAAATAATTCGCAAGAGGCACGACTTGACGTTGTTTTAAAACTAGGCCACTCTGAGACAGGACAAGTTATTAACAATATTAGCTCGATAGTGATATATCAAAATAATCCACAAAATCAACAAGGTATCAATCAATAGCTACGTTATTTATTACCATTCCAATTGTAATAAAGTCTCAATCATCTGGGACACAGACCTTTGAGTTTGGGTTGTGACCCACACTGCATATACAGCCAGGACTAATGACTTACCGTGCCTTCCGTAACACGGGGAAGTTCGAGATGGTAAATTCTTGGTCATCTATCCAATAACAGGCTAATAGCGAAAATTATTTAACTTCTACGATCTCAGACCGAACGCGCTAGCCACTTGCATCATCAAGCTTCTCAAATTTCTATTATACTTTATACCATATATTTGTATTTTTCCAGGTAGGTCGACAACAGCTTTATTGCCATTACTTTGTAATGAGATCCCCGCAGCTAAAGAAGACCAACAATTACATAAAACTGTTGAAATTGAAGAAGTAAAAGAGGAGATTGTACCAACACTAGAAAACTTCACAGATTTTCTAGAAGTATTGGATCATAAGAATTCTGAAGTTGCCGACACATCTCAAAGAACTGAATGTGATAGTTATGATAACGATAACTACTATTTAAATAATATTTTTTCCTCATCCAGTGACTGTGCTGAATCAAGAGATTTGGACACGGGAGTTCTTGTGAATATTTTACAACAGGAGTCATTTAATAACATGAACTCATCCGATGATCTTGTTTTTTCAACCCAGAGGTTAATAATGGATTCTTTACCTGAAGAAAGTTATGAGGAGGTTAAAAAACCTGTCAAAATGAAATCCCCAACTAAAATAAGAGTGAAATCGCCTTACGAAAATAAATCATTTTTAATGGAAGAAAAAAAGAGAAAAAAGCTTTTAGAAATAAGAGAAAGGCGTGAAAAAAAGAAGATGGCGATGAATGAAAGTTGCAAAATATCCAAACATAAATATGGCAAAGGTTCGATTATGCCTCGACCATCTAGTTCCGTCACCAAGTTATCGATTACCAATAAGTCATTTTATAATTCTATTTATGGACAAAATGCTAAAGATGATAATATGCAAACAAGTAAATCTAAATCTTGTAAAGGAAAAAAAGATATGATGTTAGAAAATAGTTTCGAACAAACTTCAGAAATTCTGTCACCTGATACAAATAATAAGAAATACGTTGACCGCAGTTATTACTTGGATGAAGCTGTGACGGAAATAATGTATACAGAACCAAGTGAACATAGTAGTGATGTGAGAGACTTGTTTTCAGTTTCTACGTCTGTTTTATCAAGTGATTTAGGACCTAACATATCCTCAATTCCTCCAACAATAAATAGTCCGTGCGATAAATCTGAACGGTAAGTAGAACCAGGAATGAAATAAAATATATTTTTGACTGTTGTTTAAATTAGATACTGGTGGTTATTATCATCACCATTCTACTAATGTGCCCACTGCAGAGGCACAACCCTTCCCTATGGATCTAATGGGGAGATTGGGTCGTGACTCACCACACGGGTCCAGTGCCGATTGGTGGGAACTAACGTCTGCAGATGCAGCCGGGAAAAAAGGCTGAACGTGCCTTCCGAAGTACGGAGGAGCACGAGGCAATAAGTTTTTGGTCACCCAGCCAATGACCGACCATCTCGATGTTGCATAACTTTCACGATCTCAGGCCGAACGCACTAACCATCTGTGCAATCGAGCTTCTCAATTTCAATTCAATTAGTATTTAATGATAAATAATGTCTATTATACTTCAGATTTGACGAAACTAATGAGTCGAATGACACAACCAACAAAAGTGGAAACGAATTGGATGCAACATCTTTACATAGTATACGTGACAATGAACCATCAACATCTTATAAAAGTGACCACAAAAAAGCTATACCTATCGAATGCCGAAAAAGTATAGATAAAATATACGGTTTGATGAAAAAATTAGGCAATGATACATTGGAATCTAAATCATCACCAACAAAATGTATGACATCAGGTACAAACAACATCGAAACAAATGTTGCTCCAGAAAGCTCTTTGCAATATAGTGATAGCGGCACAAGTCTGAAACATCTTTTGGAATCTTCGAACCCTAGCAGCTTTAGCTTTGATAAAATACCTACCATCGACCAAGTCTCTTCACCAAAGAGCGATATAACCAAAAAAGTCAATGGCGTAATAACTGTTGTACCAAAAGTAATAATAAGTGCTAAGCAATCCGCGATAAAAATGGAAGGAGACAAAATGAAAAAGGAACGTAAGAAAATTGCAGTAAACATTCAAAAAATACCAGATAATCCTTTAAAAGCTATATCACAATTGTTACATGAGTTTGATAGTGTTCAAAGAACAAGGCATAAAATAACAGTTGAATCAAAAGGTAACAAGAAGTCAGAAGTTTCTTTCGAGAATCGTAATATTTCTCGACAGGGTGCTCTCAAGACTCGCTTACACTTAGAAACACCTGATGTTATAAAACATGAACCAGCTAATGAAAAAAATAAAGTCGTCATAAGGGAGCGAAAGGTGAAACCTAGTGTTATACACGAACCTTTAAAAATACTTCACCAACCATCACCGACCGAAGATAGGCAAATCGATCGTACCAGGAAAAGATTAGCAGATATAATAGATGAAGTGAAAGAGGCCAAAGGAGAAGCCGTACGAGGCCCATCGAAATTTACTTCGAGATTGAATACTCTCGCTCAGCCAAAGAAATCTTATGTGCAAGCTCACAGTGAGGAGTATCAAACGAAATATGGAAGAACTTTAATGGCAGATAGGCTTCAGAGATTGGCTGGGTCGCAGGCACCGATGCAAACCACTGAGCGCCATTTGATGTCAGGGAGCGCAAGGGGTAGGTCGAGACGTAGTGTAGAGCCGGTGGCCGGTGCCTCCAAGAGTCAGCAACCTCCTTCGTTGCCTCCTTTAGGTGTGTAAAGGTGAATTTAACGTTCAAATTATTTATAATGTATTAACTTACTTATATTTTTCTAAAACAAAATTAATTCGTCGTCGTATCAGACAGGAATCGGAACAATGCTTTAACAACGATGTTAAATACCGTAGATACAACAACACAAACAAAATCGTGGCCGAAACGTGTCCAAAAGGTACCTACATTGGACGATCAAATGGGCTCCGTAAGATGATCGCGTGTTCAATAACAATATAAGCCATAATTTAAACATTAAAAGTCACCTTTCATGCATATACTATATAAGGTCTTAATTAAGACGCATGCGTCAAAGATTTATGACAGTTCGAATTCCCAACTCGTAAAATTTTACGACTTTTGCTATATGTGGAAGAATATAGACCTTATGACTCTACGCGCAATTCTGAATGCACTGTTAGCAAGCAATATAGCAGATACGGACCGCGAGGAAAAGAGACGACTTTATGGCGACGAATAACCGAACATGCATTTGAATATCACAAATATTTTATATTAAATCAGTTAATAGTAATTTTTATTTAAGTAAAAATAAAACTTGAAATGCGTTAAATTAACAAATATTGATTCGAAAAAATGACACTACGTTCCATTAGTATTTTTTGCATTTTTTCACGAGCTGTATGGCATCTTGACTTTTCAACGGTCCGTGCGTGACTGTGAACCAAGAAGTGCTTGAGTGGAGTACAAACACTTCTTAATTGCGACAAATTTTGAGGGCTCGTCGTATATCTAGGGTACTTAATATCGTTGCACAATGCACTTTAACGGTAAACTTATCCATAATTTCAATGTCGATTACTACAATTGGGAATATGCATGTAATTCAAATAAGGCTCTATTTTTTTTATATATCAACTATCTATTACTTTTCTATTCATCGATATTTTTTAATAAAAAATCTTTTTGAGCTAGAAATTAACCCATATAGACCGATAATTATTTTAGTACAAAAAATTTGCTTTCTATACAAAAGCTTGCTAAAAATAACCTAAAAACTAATATAAAAATAAAGAAAATAATATATAACAAAAGGGGAGCACACGGAGGGCCGTACCATATATGGTACACTAGGACTATACGCATACAAAAAACCTTGATATTACGACACAAATATTTATTTATTTTTTGAATGGTAAATAATAAAATATTCCACGTCTCCACCAATATTTCACTTGACACACCTTGTTGAACATTGATTGTGACATTGCCCACATCTGGTTCTCTTTTCTTGCTTAGCAACGTAGTGCTCTTTATATCACGACTCAAATGTTATTGAAGATGGTTAACAGATTTCCAATCAAACCTTTTCTTTCCTCTATCATGACATCAGCAGAAAGAAGTTTAGTTCTAAATACTTATTTATTTTCTTTCGTCAGCAACTCATCATCAGAAAAGAGCAAGGACAATCATTCTATCGGACTTCTTTCTATTGGAAAATGATAAACTGTTAGCCCAGTAATGGCTTTAGGTTATAAGGCTCTTTTTCTCCAATTATACGGTTTTACACGTTTTTGCAAGGGTTCTTGAGACTCACATGGTTCGCCCGATTCTTCTCTAAAAGCAGTAGGTACTGCTGGTGCTCGAAGTAAACTTGGAGGCAAATTGTTTATGTCTACCGACATCTTCTTTACCAGAGTCTTCATCAGTCTGATCATCGTTGGCGGTGACCAGACCGATGAAGACTAAAGGTCATCAGGCGGCAGTAAAAAATGACAATATCTTGACCCTAGTTGTAAAAACCGTCACCTTCCTCAAGATTTGAAGCAATATCGTAAAGCGTCAATGACCTAAAACCATGAAACACAAAAAACTATAAACATATGGCTGCCGTTTATTTTGCTTATGCATAAACCTACTGTACCGCATATGGTACACTTAATTGATTTATTAAATATACCTAATATAAATAAATTGTAAAACATTTTTGTACTTCAAACATTTATTTACACTCTAAACTTCACAAAAAAACTACTAAATAATATAATCAATTATAAATATTGTGGAACTTACCTTTTCGAAACCATAGTAGATTATTTCTATTGTTTTTACGACAAACTCAATGAAAACTAATTACGTTTTTGTCTATTATAAACTAAAGCCTTATATAGTCTTCGTTCATTCGTATAAATAATAAAAACAAATCTACCCTCAGGTACGACGCAATTACATAAGAAAGTTACTGTACCATATAAGGTACGGTAGGTCTATATGGGTTAATTACTGTAAAGTAAGAAAAATTTGCGGAAAATTCAACTGAAACTCAACGGAACTGTTGTGGCGTAGGACAAAACAAGACAAACAAGATTTGTTTTGTTGCTGGGTTGCTATGGACTGTGACGAAACACCAAGATTTCCATAATAGCGAGCGTTTAAATTGCCCGTGAAAAGTGGCTATTTTTAACAGTTTTTAGACTATTTTTTCGTCATTTAATATTTTTATACTACTATAATAAGGGAATATAAACTAACGAGTATTCCCTTGGTAGTCGATGGCGCAGGTGTTTAGCGCGTTCGGCTGCGATCGTTGAAGTTAAGCAACTTTCGCAGTGGTCGGTCATTAGATGGGTGACCAAAAATCTTCTAACTCGAGTTCCTCCGTGCTTCGGTAGGCACGTTAAGCCGTTGGTCCCAGCTGCATCTGCAGTCGCTAGTAACCGCCAATCCGCACTGGGCTCGCGTGGTGGGTCATGGCCCAATCTCCCTATTCCATCCATAGGGAAGGCATCATGATGTTGATTCCCTATTAGTGCTAGCATATTTATTGTTTGTACTATTTATGAAAGAACGAGGAACCAAGCACCGGCGGTCAGCAAGTGCCAGCCCCGAGAAACCTGCAGAGCCCGACGTTACGTTATATAAGCAGAGTCATGATCCAGATGCACCAGAAACATTGTGAGTTCTGAAAAAAGTCTAATTTGGTGTCTACTTACAAAAACCCACATGTTACAAACACCTTTTTCAAAAGTTTTTTAATAAATTATCAATATTTTTTTTTCTGCCTGAATACTAAAATCCCTTTCAATATTCATATTAAAAACAGACGCCAGCACTTGGTACTTAATTTTTCATACTGTTAATAATAGCCTAATTCAAAATATGTTTAAAATTCCTTTCAGGAAAAACAAGATGGTTGCTGTGGAGTCATACGTGAAAAGTCACTATGGACGTGCGGCGACTGCTAACGGGGACCATGCTCGTATGGCGAATAAAGCTAGGGTGCCGCTCGTGCCTCATGATCTCGACTTTTGTAAGAATACTCTACTTTTAAGGTAGTTTCGTCATCATTGGAATAACCTTTTAAATGAAAGACAATGTAGTTGGATGGCATGTAAGCAAAATACCTACTTAGCTGAAAGCCTATTCAGCTAGATGTCTAAAAAACCGAATGAACTAGTATCCTTCAAGTTTCGGTTCCTTCAAAGAAGAAAAGCAAAGCGAGGTTGGATCACCTCCTATATTTACATGTTTGTATTTCAGCTCCAGTGCCGTCTTCTCCTACTGGGGAAGAGTCTGCAGCCATTGGCAACAAATTACACTGCATCATCAACAGCATTATGAAGGTGAAACCTGGAATGCTTGCTGCTCTCGCCGAGAGCCCGGAGAGTGACTCGAAACACAGTCAAGAAGACCAGTTCAATGATGAACTTTATCACTCGAGAGATGATAAAACATCTTCTGTTGATTCTGAGTATCGTGCTGACATATTCGAAGACAAAAATGTCAAAACTGCCGTACAGAATTTTCTAGAAGACAAAAGTGAAGAGACCGTCACTGAGGAAACTTCTGAACGATCGTATGCGTTCAAATATGGAGGGGTAGAAACGTCCGATTCTACCATCGCATTGGAGGAACTCGAAAATGCTTTACATCGTCGGATATCAGTCGGAGCATTTTCTAAACGTTTGAGATTAAAAAAATTAACGATCACACCTAAACAATCAATGCAGCAAATGTTTTTAGCACAGTCCGGTGATGCAGAATCAGGATTATTGATTCAATCCGCAATTTCGAAAAACCTGAAAGTTAATATTTCACAGGCTAACAGCGAAATAAAATTAAGAGAAATTCGATCATTGGTCCAACCTCAACTGGATTGGAGAGTAACAAGTATACCTCTACAAATTACCACTGTGGGATATGCATTTCCACAATACGACATGACTCAGTGTAGCTCAAACTTCGATATAAAATCTATTGTAGATAGAACATTGAATGATGACGCTAAACGTAGCCAAAAATCATTACTGGAAACAAATTCGACGCAAAATATAATTATTAGTCGCTGTGATGCATTTTTGTCTGACATAGACAAAGAAGCAAAACAAGATCAACCACCAGACAAATTAACGCCAATACCAATGGAAACTGCTACTGCAACCAAAGAAATATTTGAAGACGGTGAATTCGAAAACACGTCAAAATCATTCAAGAATTCTATTTATCAAGTCCGAAATGTTAAAAATGAAACTAATAACCATATAAACTACACTTCATCCTTAGATATGTTAGTCGGAATTTTGAATGAGATACAGAAGATTACTGCATGTCATATTACTAGCACTGAAACTTGTGATAATCAGGAATGCAAGCAACTAGAAAATGTGTTGTGTAATGACGACACTAAGTGCATTGTGAATTTGAACAAATCTCAGGACCTAATTTCTATCACTTCCTTAGATAGACTGAGGCAATTGGATTCCAATGCTAGTATATACTCTCTTTATATTTCAAATGATGAATCTGAGGAAGACAGCTCGAAAGTAATATCTAATGTAAACATTGCACTATTTCATGATAAAAGCAAATTTGCTGACAAAGAAGTAAGCGCCGATTTTCCAGAGAAGCAGCTGACTAGTACGTTTACAGATGTTCCATCTTTGTTTCCTTTAGCAGTTACTCACAGTACAAATGTAACAGAGTCACTGATGAGAATATTGTGTATACCATCTAATCGAACTGTGATTTCGGACCCTAATGATAACGATGAAAATTACAGCGAATTATCCATAGATCGTCAAAATAAATTAATTGAAATATCGCCATCAACTGTAATAAAAAAAACTAAACCGTATTCCACAATGTGTTCAGAAATTGCAAATGTTTTACAGACTGCTGTCATTAAACAAAAACATATCAAAGATACACAAATGGATGAAATTGATGTTAGCTCTTTTAAAGCTAATAATAGTTTGTTAAAAGGAAACCAGCTTGATCAACTGACACTCCAATATAATGTTTCGAACTATGATCCACTGCTCAAGATAAAAAGGGATATTTTAGTAACAGTGTACTCAATGCTTGTTTTAACTGTTTTTGCAGCTTTGTCTTTTCCGGATATATTATACCTTGCGTAAACGCCTAAGTAATTTATCTTTAGATAATTTATACAAAATTTTATAATTTATTTAAACGGATTTTCATTAAAGATAAATACAAGTATGAAAATTAAAAATTAAAACACTTTATAGATTGTTCCCATAACAAACTTACGAATGCCACAAAAAGTAAATAACATACCATGGAACCACAATATCGCGATAACCCAACGATTTGCCAACTCGCGGCTAATCGGACCAAGCTATTCGCCTAATCGTGAATGTGATGAAAATGTGCTTCGCTTTGCTGTCGGCTTGGTGCGCATCATAGGATTCTATTGCGATAACATTCGTACGGTTGATTACACATCGAGCGCTTTGTTAACAGCAAGATCTCGTGTTGATCGTATGTATTTGCATATATAAGAAAATAATTGATTCGAGAAATTCTAGAATATTGGCATTCACAGCAAATTAAGAATAGATAATAACCATTTGTGGAGAGAGACTAAGGTGTCGTCCTAACTGAACGATCGTACGATGACAAGATGCAAAAAAAAATTCTTCAGTCTCCTAATTCAGAAAGAGTTTAAATTCATATTTCATTCATTCAAATAAAAATAGACCATTCGTTTTGGAAACCTCTACAATTACCAATTATTAGAAAACATTTTAAACAAAACGATTAAGATATAAGTTAATTAAATTTCGAAAAGAACGATTTAGAAAGCTTCTAGTAGTGAAACAAATTAAGAATAGGCTAGTTGACCCTTTTTGGAAAAAGGTTTTAAATGGTTAATAAATGTTCTATTAGACCGAAAAAAATGTATTGTATTTTTTTTAAACCTAGAAAGCTACAAATCTTTAATTTTAAAATAGACTTTTCATGGACATACAAAAACGCTGTCGGCCATTTTAGTCTATAGATTATCTATTCTATGACGTGAACTGTGGTAAACAAAAACTCGTAAACACGTAGGAAATTACTTTTAACTGAGTTTATAATAAAAAAAAAACATGATTTCTAATAAATACCACGAAAAATAAAGTAATTATCATTAATGTATTGTACGAGAATATAAAAACACATCCTTGAAGACTCCAGGAAAGTTGTGGATTAAAATGCCGAAAGAAATTAACCTACGCAACTTTATTACACTTATTCATATGTTGTATCAGTTTTATGTTTATTACTACATTGTAATACTAAATGCACTGTATTTACATAGATGCCTTGTCATTTCTCTGCTCCGCAGGGCAGAAATCGGGGTTTAGTGCAACAAATTCACCAACCAACCAACCAATGCGTCAATTCTTGGCAGATTTGTGCTTTCTGCTTTCACAAAGCCGGCATCCATAATTAGTTTTGTCAAAAAAAACTAAGTTTATTGTTTTTTTCTTTCCTAAAGTTAAAAGTGTTTTAAGATAAATTTAGTCAGACGAAAGAATCCACCTACAGTCACGCGAATGACATTTAGTTGTTTACCACAAGAGACGTCAAAATCATGGCGGATGTGGCGAACAGCGTTTTTAGTGTTTAAAAAATATTTTTTTAAATTAAATTTCTACAGCAATCTTCTGCTTTTATGAAGTGAAATCGATATATTAAGGTTCCTTAGACTTAAATACTTTAAGAAATAAACATTTATTTAATACAATTCGACATGAGTAAACTAGCCTATTACCTACGATTGAAAAGTAAGTAAAGAAGGGAAAACAAATTGACAAAAATATTAGGGAGATACAAGATCAGTGGTCATTTTATAAACACATTTGTAATAACAAATTGGCCAAAACTTAGTATAAATAAGGCCCCATCACCTTTATCATATTCTTTATTTTATTTACGCGCTTTTCCCCTTTACCCTTTCTTTTCTTTTTGTGGCGTGCGTATCTTTGATATTTTCTTCAACGTTTTCGTCCTTGTATGCCTGATCTTGATGATAACTATAATAAATTCTTCAGATTGGCGCGAGTATGATTTGCTTTGCCAATGACCTTTTAGATCTGATAACAAAGGCTGAAAAAATGATTTAGATTTAGTAGGAAGTGTCAATTTTATGTCGCATACTCGTCCTTTCTGTTTAAGCATTTTGGAAATGGTTTTGTTAGTGCTGGCTACTTTCTTTCATTTAGTAATTTCCAACTCACCATCAGAATAATAGATATTTGGATAGGTATATTAAGTCTGTTCTTTTTTTTCCCCCTCTCAGTGTCACAGCTTGCTTATTTATCTCCATCGTGATCGTCTTTCTCTTTGTGCACGTGGTTTCAAATCATCGATGGATACTATTGTTTCCTCCGCTTTTCTTCTTAAATACCGCGATAATTCTTTTTCTTTTTCAATATGATGTAGCTCTTCATTTTCTTTCATTGCAGTGCAGCGTAGCGTGTATATAACCTGATACGTTTTTTAGTTCTACATTTTATTGTTTTATACTATGCAAATAAAAATATATTGATGGAGCAAAATTAACCATTAGTACGAAGAAAATAGCAGGATATTAATAATAGGATATTAATTATTTTATCTACATCCACGCTTTAAAACCTCCATAAAAGATTCTGAAACAGATAATTTCCAACATTAAAACATCAATGTCCTAATTAAAACAAAAAAATAAGACATTTCCAATCATCATCATCATCATCAGCCTCTTTATGTCCCCACTGCTAGGGCACAGGCCTTCCCTGTGGATGGAATAGAGAGATTGGGCCATGACCCACCACGCGGGCTCAGTGCGGATTGGCGGGTGCTAACGACTGCAGATGCAACCAGGACCAACGGCTTAACGTGCCTTCCGAAGCACGGAGGAACTTGAGATAGAAATTTTTAGTCACCCATCCAATGACCGACCACTGCGAAAGTGGCTTTACTACAACGATCGCAGCCGAACGCGCTAACCACCTGCGCTATCGAGCTCCTCGTTTCCAATCAATTACCGAAAAAATCAAGAAAGCAGTATGAAAAGGCGTACCAACCGTTGCATAAATAACTTATTACTCAGGTACAAAAAATCATTACCATCTATGCCGAATCATTACTAGGACTTGGAAAAGGGTCCGGTAAACGACGGTAATGAATGTTACGGTAATGAAAAAATCACCTTATTAGAAATATATTCGCCAAGTTTGCTTATTCAGCCGCGTTTTTCAGTAATTTAAGTAAAGAAAAATACAGTACTTACATGATATCTTAATACAGAGGCGGCGTAAGGCGTGGACGCCGTGGGCCACCGCCTACGGCCTCGCGGTACAAGGGGCCTCGCGTCTCAAAAATTGTTATGCATTGCTTAAAAGCGTTTTTTTTTTTCGTCTTCAGGTCGCCACAGAACTGGGCCTCGCGAAATCTGTCTTGCCCAAATCAAAGGAGATTGCTCAAATTGCACAAAAAATATTGACATACACGATAATTCTTGGCGTAATTTATAATTTAATTTACAGTCATTAGATTTCAACGGACACCTTTGTATAATATATTTACTTTAAAAAGGACTTTTAATTTTACCGGCTTGGAAAACATACGATTCATTTTTAATGGCTATGGGTGTAGTAACATTCAGCCAAAGACTGATCGAAGTTGTTTATATAACATAAAAACAAAACTATTTTGTAAAGATCCATAAAATATTTTTTTTTATTACACTGTGGTATTCATATCCACAACTATATTATCATTTTCACTAGATGCAAATGTGCTCAGACAATTATTATAGATGGTAGGCGACATCATAAAGTCTATTGCCATACATTTTTCGCCAAACACCTCCATAAACACAATATAATCTGTATATGTGTTAGACTTTAAGGTATCTATCTATCTATGGGCCTACGTTCCCTGACTATAAATTAATAAATAAATAAAATTGTAAGGTGTGATACACTAAAAATCTAAAATATAGTTATCTTAAAAACATAACAAAAATAATTAAGCTACTGAATATATGGTTATGGAACCTAAATCTCTTAGCTTTCTTTGATTAACGAGAGTTTAAAAATTCTCTCTAATCTGTGGCTCATTCACAATCATCACACAGTTTCTGTCACAGAGTACCTTATTATAACCGGAAATGATACCTGATTTTAAAAGTTACTCTTATGCATTAACTTTAAAAACAGGCAACTATCTGTTAATCTACATGCTCTATATACCTGAATCTAATCCATAATTTCGGTACTTGGCTTGATTTCCCTAGTTTACTATATAACTTATTTGTTTTTTATTATTTTAATATGTTCAGTGTATATGGTTTATAGAAATTATCAGGAGTGTCCGTGATTAATATTCGTTTCTACAGTAATTTATATATAATTTCGGATCTAGGAAACAATTTTTCATGATTATTGGTCTTTAGGCCAAACATGTATGGAAGTTGAGCAATCTCCTTTAGGTCTTGCCCAGTGGCGGACTAACAGGGGGGCGGAAAGGGCGGCCCGCCCCGGGCCTCCGATCTTGGGGGGCCCCCAAATGCCTCCGAGTTCCCCTGATCAAAACCTTTAAAAATGTGCTTAGTACCTACATAATTTCATCAAGATCAAAACACTATAGCCATCTAGACTTTTTACGCGGTACTAATATTCTTTTACCTTTGCTGAACGTGTCCAATACGCTGGGGCAATTCCCGTCTTTGTAGCGGGTACTTCCTCAAGAATTCCTGAATGAATGAAGTGCATATAATTCACTCTTTTACGCCTACATAACAGAGGCTGCTGGTGGGTCAAAGACAGTACCATCTTATTTGTCAAAAGGAATAATACAAAATGAATTTATTCAATGTTTGGGTGATCATGCAAGGCAAATAATTATTGCAGATATTACGGAATCATTTTTGACAGCACTCCTGACGAAAGTAAAATTAATGAAATGAGTCAAATCATTAAATTCGATCATATAGAGAATGACATAGTGGAAGTACGAATCTTTCTTGGGTTTATTTTTAATGTCTGGAAAAACTACTGAGGATATGTCAAAAGACATTCAGCAACAGCTGAAAAAAAGACGGACTGAATACTGCGTTGTGCAGGTTATCACAATGCTGCGTCAATGTCAGGTGTCCATGGAGGGGTGCAACGAAAAATCCGAAAAGTAACCTAATGTACTGTTCAGTCCTTGTTCTAATCATTCTTTGAATCTCTGTGGAGTTCATGCATTTGTATGCGTTCCTTCCAGCGTCACTTGTTTTGGAACAGCAGAGAAATTATATTCGTTGGTTTGCGTCATCTACACAGAGATGGCAATTGCTGAAAGAGAAAACTGTAAAAAAATTAAAACGTTTATCGGATACTCGCTGGAGCTTTCATTACGAGTCAGTAAAAGTTGTAAAAGAAAACATAGAGACAATTGTTTGGAACATTTTCAAGATCCAACAAAAGCAAATCTAGAAACAATATCAGGAGCAAGCCTGCTCCTGCCGGCTGTTTGTGATTCTACCATTCTAACCTATTATACCATTCTGGCTTTCTGGAAGAAGTAACTGAAGTTCAACAATATTTGCAATCTCCAAAAATGACTCCTTGATACAGGAATCACCAAATTAAACGCCTTGTATAAGTATTAAGTGATCGAACGAACCACCATTGTAGACAATATTGTAATTTTTGTCATAAAAAAATGCAATGATATGGACATCAACATCGAGAAACGAGGAAGAAGGAAGGTAAAAAGAACGATGCCAGGTGAATCAGCTCATGATGCTGGATTATCAATTCCAGAAGAAATAAGTTGGTCAATGAATGAATGCATAGATCGATATAATATACAAGAATTGTCGACACGATACGGGGCCATGAAAGAAATCAATAATATTTTCCAAATTATTGAAATAAAGCTTATGCTTGAAGCTTCAGATGATGCTCTGGCTGTAGCAGTTGACAATCTGACACAAAATAATGATGAATTTGACAAGGAGCAAGTTTCCCAAAAAATAAAAAAGTACCGCAGGCATGTAAAACCCACCGATACGAATAGGACGTTGCTGCCAATCGGAGAGCCCAAGAAATCCTTTAATTAATAATAAAATGGGACTTCAGTGAATCGTTACTCTGTAAATTGCTTATACTTCAATATAGGTATTTCTTGACTACTTGCATCTCGGTTGCATCATGCTAGAGGAGTTTTTCGAAACTTAGACTAATTAAAAATTATCTTCGATCTACAATTGGTCAAGAGCGACTGGTATTAATCTAGCCGACCTTTCAATAGAAAAAAATCCAAAGAAATCGAGTTTTCACAGAAGTTAATGAGGAGTTCAGTAAATTTAAGTCACAAAAACACATATAAAATGCTAAAAACTATCTTTGATTTATTTTAGTATTTTTTTTTGTAGATCGATTCGTATTTGATTTTCTCACCCATATCTATTCTATTTTGTAGGTATGTATGTTTATTTAGCGAATTTAGAATTTAATTCTAATTTAAATTTCACTTGTCCCATTTAACGAAATAAACATAAAAAACAAA